CACTCAGAATACTCATGTTTTTCTCCCTGTTGCATGGGAGGTGTTTATGGCAAAATAGTAACACACAATTAAACATATCACACCTTATATCAAGCAAATGGCTACTGGGCCTTCACAAACCTTAGAGACCTAAAAACAGTGATTGTGCTTTGCATCAGCCCTTGCCCAACTCCTCAACACCTTTTCATATTCAAATGAATTGCCATGAGAATGCAATTTGTGACAACTTAGACCTTATGGCAAATGGAAAATTTCGCACACGAGTTGTGATTTGACCATGTACTCCAAATATGCTTGCAGTCATTGGATGTTAACAACTTCAGAGTCTCTCATTGGTTTTAAGACGGACTAGTTGTTATACATACAATGTACATGTGTGTACTACTGTGACTACAGGGCCAAATCACAAGGTCTTCTAAAAGACGAACACATTGGCGACTATATTATTCCAAAGACTCTCCAGAGACCAGAAATAATATTATTTTAATATATACTATTTTAATATAAATCTTGCTCCTTAAAAAAATGGAAGTATTTTGATCCAGATCTCACCTGAGGCTGGTTACCGGTTACAGCAACAGGACCAAATTTACATCACAATTGTAAAACTTCCTTCCTTTGTTCAGAGCATGACTGTTTTTACACAAAGCCACGGTCGATTGCAGCCACACAGCACTATTTGATCTTTTAAATTTACTTAAAAAATAATGAAAGGGGGGTGTAAAATACTAAACATCAGACCAAAATACCAGATGTCTTTATGTGTCACAGAGATCTGCATGTGTGATCAACACCATAAAACAACATTTGCCAAACAGACAACACCGAAACAGGTGAACACATTTCTGCCCACAGATCTGACTGTAATGAGAGCAACTGCAACTAAAGCCATGGACATTGGTCCATTGGAGTTCATGATGACATGGGTGATAAAAACACCAATTAATCTAGAAAATGTCCCCAGCAGAACTGGGGTCTATAATGCTCATGACACAGCAGACTGTGAAGGCTCAACTGCAAGAACGGCATCAAGTGTTACACACTCAGACTGCACTGAAACAGTAGCAGTAATTCAGATCTGACCGATGACACTCAGTTTCATGTGACATCTGGAATTAAAAGTACAATACATGATGATGATGTAGTTAAAATAATTCCACATGACTGAACGTGAAACTGATGAGAAGTTCAAAATTAACTGTGGTTCTCTCTGTATTTGATTCTGTCTCAGGCTGACCACTGCAATTCCTTGGAGGACAGATACCAGGAAGGCGCCTGATCCCATCAGCACCAAGCCAAGACAGCAGAATTGTTAGACCATAACCTGAAATGCGGGAGATGGGTGTGAAGACACTTGAAGGGGCCAGTCACACCTCACAGGAATACTTTTTAAAATTACTAAAATAATTAATTAAAATAAATTACTACACAAATATCTATATGGCCTCCCGGATTAGCACCGGAACTAAATTTTTGCAACACAGATTTCTATAGATTAGACTCCGCCCGTCTCCCAGACATGAGCACAGAACACAAACCCCATCTAGACTTTCCAGTCTGAACACTACACATAACAGAAAACAATGATGGCTTAGATTACAAACGTGGTACCCCACTAAAGATCTATTGTCCATCTTCACACTGACAGAACCACATAGCCTCACACACATAGGACAATATATTAATCCCATGATGACAGTCTGAAAGAGACACACAACATTCATACTATTTGCAACCATCTGCAAACTCATGGAACAACACTATAACACACATTTTCATGACTAGTCACAGATCGATGGTGTAACTTCAAAACACAGAGGCAGACAATTTAAAATATTGAATCTTCCTGATTGTTATTGGGGTGGTTGACAAGCCAGAGGGCCCCTGGTTTCTCAATACACCAATCGCTGATTAATGTCGGAATATTACATGGGTTGCTGTAGGGGGCTAAACATTAGCCACAAACCTCTGAATAAGGATTAGAATGGCGAGTTTTGTGATCGTGGAGCCCACGCATAGCGGCCGGCGTGAGGCATCCTAAAAATGACATAGATTCCTAGTGAACGAGTAAAATACAAAGTAAAGAGCTAATTAGAATAATCGAATGTAAGAATAATCAGAGACCGACAAATAACCAATGTGCCTTTCAACCTAAATTCGAAGTCATACTAAAATGGAGTCAGATTGAGTTAAACCTAAATTGAATAACTCTGCGCGCTGAAAAGACCGAACACGCAAGAGACCTTCATCCGCCACTGGATACCTTCTTTGGGCCAAGTGCGCGGACCTTACAGCATACTTGCGAGAGGATAGCCGTGGGAGCAACTGGTGATGCGGGCTTCGCGGGATGCTGAGTCGGCACATTTTTGGGGCGATTAGAACCAGCCGTTGAGCTGGAGCGCTTTGGCAGGAAGTGTCACATTGCTTGGACGACTTCTATGCAGCGGTAAAGCGTTCAGCAAAGCCCTCAACTGCAGGTCCATACAGGCCAGTAGGGGAAACCGGGGAGTCAAGGAAGGGGACCTTATCCGCATGGATCTGCCAGTCGCCTGCGCTGTCATCTTGGTGGTGCGTAGTGCCAGGTCGGTCGTGCTGCGCAGCTCCTTAAAAGCTGCGGGGTCCGGGCCGGACTCGTCCATGCAACGGAGGAGCTTGGTCTGGAAGACTTGTAAGACCGCCATGGAATGAAGTGCCAAGGCCGCTTGTCCAGCAGATGAGTAGGCTCGTCCGGCGAGAGCTGAAGTCGCCCTACATGGCTTGGACGGGTGGGCCGCCTTTGCCTTCCAGCCGATGGCCTTGAGCGGGCAGAGATGTGCAGCCACTGACTCATCCAGGGAAGGCAGTCTGTCGTATCCTTTTTCTTCGGCGCTGTCGACTGATGTGAGGGTAGACAAAGATGAGGCACGAAGGCGGGCTGAGTAGGGGGCACGCCAAGACCTGGTGATCTCGTCGTGGACTTCCGGAAAGAATGGTGAAGCTTGTTGTCGGGGGACCTGACTGCGCCCTGGCAAGAACCACTCATCCAGGCGGCTGCGGGTGGGCTCCTCCGGCGGAGACCACCCCAAACCCAGCTCCTCCACAGCTTTAGACAGGACACGGAAAAGCTCGGCATCCATGCCAGTGCTGGCTGTGCTGGGTTGTGCAGATGGCAAGGGGGCGGGGTCGACATACGGGCTCCGACATCTCCTCTGCATCTGAAGCCTCCAACGACATGCTGTCGTCCATGGCGTCACACTCGCTTCCTCCAAATGAGACCAGATCGCTCGAGGCCGCAGAGGGACGCTGGTCTGGGAGGGAGAAGTGGACTGGAGAAACCTCTCTGAGCGGAGAGAGTGAGGTACGCGGGGGCTCAGCCGGCCTGGGCTCACTCGTCACCGAGCGCCGAGTTCCTCTGCCCCGCTGCTTTTTCCTCACAGGCTCCTGGGAGGAAGAAAGCGGGAGGGCACGAGGGGCGGAGTCGCTCTCTGAAAAGAAAGTTACACTGCGTTATTGAAAGGCTTCAGTCATCAGAGAAAAAGGAGTTTTCCCCAAGCGTCTTAAACAGACACAGTACAAGTGAAGTATCGATAGGGAATGAATTTTCATGCTTGTGAATGTTCACATTAAAGTTTCAATCTTTCTTATAAAGGGAGCATTACCAAGAGCTTGTTTCATAAACATTTCCCAAAACAAAACCTTTACGAATTTAACAAATGAGAACAAATGCCTAGGGTGTTAACAGCCATTTAGTTCTCAGCAGTTAATAAACATCTATACTGAGCCCGTATTTACAATTGGTGAGAAAAAAATTTGAAGCAATTTTAAAATTTCAAAGTATAATTTAAAATAAGAATAAGAACTAAGCCCAACCCAACTCTTGACCTACAAAGCATAAAAATAGATGGAAAACGCAGCAATTTCTGCTTGTTGTCCATTGCTCTACAGATTTTAATTTGCCTGATGGCCATCTGGGAACTGGATCAGCATTAATGCTGACTACGCTTACTGGCAAATTGCCTTGCCAAGGGCTCAGCGATCAGCTCAACTGTATAGGAACTAATCAGAAGGAATGAAAGGGGTGTGAGCTGGAAGGACTCTATACCCCCACTCAGGGGCGGATTTAGTGAATTGGGGGCCCCAGGCAAAATATAGGAATAGGGCCCTATACATTTGCACACATTTTCCTATAGATCAACCTTGAGGTTCCATTTTGTTGTTTTCAGCGTAAGCCTGTGTGCAAAGACTGTCTAATTCTAAACTTTAAAATACATTTATTTTTAGTTGTTTTAACTACAAATGTAAATAAAACTGAAAAAATAATGTAAAGGCAATTATACATTTACACACCTAAAATACATATATCACGAGCATGCTCACAGATGAGAACAAAACAGCGTTGGATGAAGTGGATTAAGCCCGTCTTTTTTCCCGTTTCCCAAAAAAAGCTTATACTACTGTTTCAGCTATTAAAATAGTTCCGTTTTGTATGTAATGGAAAAGTGATTATATTTCGTTTAGTTTTTTTTATAATGTAAATTTAGAGAAACATTTGGAGTTTTTTTTGTTCGTTAAATGTAAGTTTTTGTTTTAAGTAAAGGCCAGCGGCAGACAGTGAGTTGATCATAGCATATAGCCTATGTTTGATCAATTTAGCCTTCTCAAATCATCAGGACTTGCCTAAAATAAAATCTATATATAAAACAGTTCAAGTATATCTCAATGCTAGTTTAAATGTTTAACCTATATAAATGTGCGCTGTTAGACACATATCCAATCGCTTGCGGAGGAGTGGAAGCTGAAGCGTGCTCTGCAGGACATGGAGGCGCCAGTGCGATCACTTGCATTTTTTTTTAACAGTGGAAACAACTTAAAATACGCAGTCATTTTTGCTCATAAAGGTAAGAGTAATACATCATTCTAAACTGTAAAGGGTCTAGTTTTATTTTATAAAATAAAGAAAACAAACGCTTTCTGCCGTCTCGGGCTTGAACAGGCCTATAATAACTGCTGAAATGTTTGCGGGGCAAATCTCAGATCAGTCTGAGCATTCATGGTACTCATCGGTCTGTACAGCCGTACACCTGCAGGCGCCACAGACTCGCACGTTTGTCGTGGAAATAAACACCGTAAACGACAAACGTTCGCGTGTCCGCGCTTAATGCGCATATCCTATATGAAAAGCATTTTAGGGGGTCCTTGGCTTTTGGGGGCCCAAGGCGGTCACCTACCTTTGCCTAATGGGTAAGTCCGCCCTGCCCCCACACAGGGCTGCTGCTGGCCAAATGGGTGCCCTAAGCAGAATAGTATTGTTGTGCCCCCTACCTCAAAAAAAAACCTACTATAAGGGGTAAAAATAGGACTTTAATCAAATATAAAAGTAAATAAATAAATTGTAATTCAATTGTATTATTTATAAATTACAATTGTATAGCTCTAGACAGTTACCTATGGCTATTTTATTAATACAGTTATCTGATTGATTTTATGGTCTCAAGCATTAAGAAATCACACAAAATAAAATAAAGAAGTTTTACTACGATAAAACCAGGGTTAATTTTGATAAGGGTTGTGATGACGTCCACATGTTTTTGTTGAAGAAATTAAAGAGGCTGTAGCATTTCTATCGCAAAAAGGTGGCCAAAAATGTAAAATTACGTGGATATTTGAATTAAATATTTGGTCAATATTAAACAAGGATTTGATCGTCCTGCAAGTGTAACAACAGCAATTATCAGGCCTTAGGTGCCCTTTGCAGGCATTTGTAATCACGTAAATGGAGCAAGCGAGCACGGGCGCAGATGCGGGAATGGCACGTCAAGTGTGCTTATACTGCCTACTGCGTTCATCTTAAAATGCATTTTTTATAATTATGTATATATAATATATATGTTTGTGTTTAGATTTTTATTTATGTATTATTTTAATATTAAAATAATACATAATTTTTTTTTTTGAGCAACCTGGGATGGTGCCCCCCTGGGAGTTGGTGCCCTACGCAAACTGCGTACTCTGCGTACAGAGATCGGCGGTGGGCTTGCCCACACGAAACCCACCCGGGGGCCCCTGTGGGCCCACAGCGGTTTTGCCCATTTGGTCCCCCATGATGGTTTTCCACTGTGGGCTTGCCCACAAAAAAAAACATCCGGGGTCCCTTGTGTTTTTTTTTTAATCTACAAGCAAACGTCGCACTAAAATTTTATTTCTGTGACAATGACAGTAAAATGAAAACAAGAAATTGTCCATAACAAAAATATAATATACATGTGTGTACTGTGTATATTATATATATATATATATATATATATATACACACACATACACACACAGAGTATATATTTTTTAAAATATGTACATGTATATACATTTATATTCTTATATTTTATTTTCTACATAAATATATTTAATATATAAACACAACATATTTTTCTTAAATATATACATAATAAATATACACAGTACACACTCATATCAAAAACTTTTATTTTGGATGCGATTAATCGTTTGACAGCACTAGTAAGAATAACTGA